TCAGCCTCAACCTTGGGGCAGTGCAGGGACAGTTCATCAGGTGTCCTCGACATGCAGCTGAAAACAGACTGGTCAGTGCCTCTCATGCCTTGACCTCGGCAACCGCAGCAACCTCATTACTACTCAGCTGGGTTCAGCTTGAAACTCAGCCTCACCAGGAGGGAAAAAGGGCCCTAGAATGCCAGGACTGCTCTAAGCCACTCTGAGCATTCGGGGAATTAAAGGACCTTGAAAATTGCCCCAGTTCAAATCCACATTTGCATTTAAATTGCCAAATTCTTTGAAAGACGGCATCATGATCTGGTCCTCAATGAAGTTGTATTTTGGGGAAATTCTGATTCTGACATGATATGCTTTCTTAGCGGCTCAGTTTGCTTAGGGAATCTCAGCGTGACAGGATGCCCAAAGAAGGAAGAAGGCTCTTGGACGGTTTGGGGAAGTTACAATGCCTGGAAGAAGAATTTTTGCAGCAAAGTTTCAGATTCCTAAGCTAACCCCACAAAAGGACATGGTAAAAACTCACAACCCACAAGCTAACATTAGAACAATGACTAAGGCTAATGTAAGCGTGATTCTATGTCATTCTCCTTCCCTCTGCCTTTCTGTATTCCAGGTTATGCTCTGCTGAGGCTTTCCCTGCCCAAGGTGTAATCCTTCTAGTTCTCTATCGCTACAGAAGCTCTAAGATTTCTTTCTCAGAGGCCATGTATCTGTACCAGCCTGGGGCCAGTGTGAAGATGGGCCTGGCTCTGATCAAATCCTCCCAAGCCTGTCCGCCCTATGTGCAGAGGGAAAAGAGGGGTGGAGTATAGGTCAGACTTGAGAGAGGGCTGCACGTTATCTGAGACATTGAACTTAGCTGCGTAGGCGGCCTTGTGAGGCACACCCTTTTGGACCTAGAACCATGGAATGTCAAAGTTACAACAGAATCTTGAAGTTATTTTACGCAGATCCTCCTTATATAGATGAGAAAACTCAAAGCAAGGCATCTCATTCATGGTTACTCAGTCCATGCCTAGGCCTCCTGAGCCCTAGTTCACTATTTTACTCTCTGCGGAGTCTAGGATCAGAGTCGCAGTGAGACCCCGATTGAGTCCGGTTTGAATGCCATTCTCTTTCCTGGTCTTCCTGCCCATTGTAAGTTGTGGCTTAGTTCACTCCTCTGCTTAACTAACTGTGGGTGACTTTCCATTAGCTCTGAACTCCTTAAACTGGTGTTCACAATGTTCACAGCTGACGCCAATCTGCATTTTTAGCTTCTGTCCCCAGCTACTTTTCTCCCAGTCCTCCCCCTGCCGCTTAACAAGACCTCCTGTGGTTCTGCAAACATGCATCACCCTCTGTTCCGTTGTGCACACTGCTCTCTTCAGCTGGAATTGCCTCTCCAACATTCTTTCCCATTTTATTCTTTCCCATTCGCTTTTGCCCAGCCAGGTTCCGCCCTCCCACTCAGCACTGCCATTCCTTCTTAGAGTACTTGTTCTTAGCCGCGTATGAAGTTTCCTATCAGATTGAAAGCTCCTTGAGAGTGGGGACCACATAGCACAATTTCTTGAATGCGGCAAATATAGTGTGCTCCAAAAGTACTTACTGTCTGTAAGAACAAATGAGCCCCTGGTTTCCTTGTGTTCCAGGCAGTTCCACGATGCTGGGAGGTGCTGAGGGATGTGAGGTTTGTGGAGGGGAAGAAGGGATGTGCTAAAAGTCAGGGCAGCTTTAACTTTCCAGAGGGCTCAGGCCCTCAGTGTGATGCTGGCATCGGCGCTCCTGCCACCTGTGGTGTCTTGAGATGACTGTGTAGGACCCTGTGGGCACTGACTTTATTCAGCACGCTGTGGTCAAGGCTCTTCTGAGCCTCACTGACAGCCCTCAGCAGGCCTTAAACTGCAGTAACGATTTCATCACCTCCCAGATCTGCTTCTTGCGAGTCTCAGGGCAGGCTTGCATTGGCAAAGCAACTTCTGAGCATTTCCTCTTCTTGAGCTGTTCTGCCGACGTCCAGACCAGCATGATTACATTGATGTTCCAAGCTGTGATCTTGGACCCATTGGTGAAGAAATTCGCCAGACATTCACGGTGCCCTGTGTGGTTTTTTTATTGCTTGACCCAGGCCAGATATAGCATAAGCAAATAAGTTCCTGGTTTAGCATTTTAGCACTTCTAGGAGAAGGGAAAAAAGCCAAGGAAGGAGCTATCAGTTGGCATTTATCTTGAAACTAAAAGATGGCATGCACCCTTGGCCGGCATGGTGCCCTCTTTCCTTCGCCCTTTGCCCTCCATGGTGAGTCTAATCAGGGCCAAATCACGATCTCACATCCACAGAAATGGGCAGGAGTAACCCAAGGAGAGGTTCAGAGGGTTGGCCTAGAAGCCAAGGCCAGAGACTTTGTGCTCTCAGCCCACCTCCACATGGAGCTTTGTCAACCCCCCGTGCCCTGTTCCTTCCTTGGTGCCACCATGGCTGGGACACTGTAGCAGAATACCTTCTGCTCAGGAAAAGTCTCGGACTGCTGATGGATATGGTGCTTTTTTTGAGCTGATGAAATGTTCTAGAATTAGGCAGTGGTAGTGGTTGCACAACTTTATTGAATTATATACTTTGAAAAGGTGATTCTATGGTATGTGAATTATATCCCAGTTTTAAAAGAAATCATGGCATACTAAGATGTTGCACAAAAAAATCAAAATTTTGCAACAAGGTCCTGAAAGAGCACATGGGTTTCCACTCCAGTGCCTCCTCTCCCCACGCCTGTTCTGAGGTCGCTGGTCTGGCGCGTGTGCTGGGGCTGGAGGGGATCTGATAGTTCTTCTGTCTCAGTCTCTGTTTTATTTCAGACGGGGATGACCTTGGCCTAGGTATTTCCTTGCCTTTGCTTCCACAGTCAGAACAGAGGTAAGGAGCCTGACCTACTTGATAAGAATCTCCTGGGAAACAGAATCTGGTTTGCTAAATGCTTTAGAGGCATGAGGTGCGAGATCTTCTGTGAATGGTTATAGGAAGGACGGAGTGACACCCAGATGTGTTCGGAGCACACCCCGGGCTGGGGTGGGGCGCACGTGGCAGGAGGCTGGACCTGTGCTGCTCTGGTGGTTTCGTTGTGCCACTAGGTGCTGTGTTAGGAGCTGTGACAGCTAATGGCTTTTGTGTCTGTGGTGAGGAGACATGGGTTTCCACCGCGCTGACTTGTGGAGGAGGGTGTGCTTCCACGGCTTTGATGCGGGGGCGTGGCAGTGGCTGGCAGGGCCAGTGCCCGAGTGGGCAGTGGGCTTGTGCTTGCCGGGCCTCCTCTGGAGACCTGCCAGCTGCTGCTGCGCCACAGACATCCCGGAGAAATGCCCAGGGGGTTTGCCTTACCTGGAAATCTGGAAGTGTCCTTACTGGAAAGGCAGCTCCTTCGCATGGGGAAGCCTGTGTCCCTGCCTCACCTAACAAATGGGCCGTGCCTACAGAAAACAGGGGGACATCCATCCTCATAGCCACTGCCCACTGCAGCTTCCTGGGCGCTGGTGCCAGCCACGCCCCAGATCACGGAGAGCGTAGCCACCCGCGGGCTGAGTGCTCTAGGTGACGAGGGAGAGGTTCCAAGGATGAAGGAGAGCTATGATCACCACGTCTTTGCAGCCCACTCACCCTCCCTCCTGGTCTGTGGGATGGTAGGACAAGGTAGGGACTCCTGTCAGCATCTTTCAGGACAGGCTGAGGATCTGTGGCTCTTGCAAAGCCCTCTCACAGACCCACCCTGCGAGGACCAGCGACCACTTCCCCCTCTGTTGAATAAATGAATGATTGAATCAGTCAATCATCATTTGTGCCCTCCCACAAATACTGGAAGATATTTATAAACTCCATAAATATTTAAAATTGCTTTCCTGTTTATGATTGCGGTACTTGATGAGAATATATCTAAAAGGGTCTTATTAAAACTTTTTTATGTCTGTAGAATTTTGCTTTTGGTCAAAGATAATGCATTTTGGGAGAAGAAATCATACTATTAAAAAATGAGATTTTAGAAAGCGATGGTTTGCTAAAGTGTGTTCAGCAGAATACTAGTTCCCTGGTGTGGGACTAGTTGGTAAGGAATAAATGGCCCAGGGCCAAATGAAGTTTGGGAGAGGCTGTGGTTAGTCAGTCACTCTACTGTGGGCCGTCTCAGCTCTGACACGACAGTGCGCAGGAATATGAGAGAGGGCGGGCACTCCTGCAGCACTGGCTTAGCGCCCACTACAGTGCGAAGGGCGAAGCAGGTTTTGGCATTTTGCTATTAATCCGTTGATGATAATCCAGTACCTTGAATTAGGTCCCTGAGAAGCAGGCGAGTGTGTCTGTGATAAGGGCCCACCTCTTCCCGCCCTCCGCATGCACGCCGCCTCTGCTCTGCAAAACTGAGGAGAAAAATGAAAGGGAATTAAAACATTACTTTGCCTGTCACAGCAAGTGATCCAACATCTCCAGTGGACTATGCAGCAAATGATTGTGGTTCTAGAAATAACCTGTCTGCCCCAGTGGCTGTATGGTGACCTCCCAGGACTATTCCATAAATGCCAGCTCTCTGCACAGTAATTACCAACTCTCTCCTTGGTAAATTTACTAGTGTGTCTAGGAGTAATTGCTGGAGAACTCACACTTCCAAATTTACAAGAGGCAAACAACCTTGTATTTACCTCAGGGGGTTATCAGGTATTCAAACTGAGCTGTGTAAAGGATGCGATTGATCATAGAAATAAGGGGAAGAACTTGAATTTTAACCTCGGAGCTTTTTTCAGTGGGTGAGAGCCTGGCTCAAAATTTATGGTGGGAAGTCTGTGGGGGAGACTTCTCTTCTTCTCAGGGTCTCTTCCCTTCCTTGAGGTTTGGAGCAGCAGTAAAGTCTGACTTTATATACAGGTGGAACCCATTGTTGCCTTCAGACAAAACTGGCTAATTGGTACCAACGGCTGGAAAGGTGTAAAACTTGGTCCAGTCCAAATTCTTACCTGTGCCTGTGGTGTTTACCCTCTAGAGATCTCAGGGAACACAGAGGACATCCCTCTGGTGCGCTGGAGGCAGCAGTGGCTGGAGAATGGCACTTTGCTTTTCCACATCCATCACCAAGATGGTGCCCCGAGCCTCCCTGGGCAGGACCCGACTGAAGAGCCCCAGCACGAGTCCGCGGAAGAGGAGCTGCGGATCCTCCACATCTCCGTCATGGTAAGAGCAGCCCGGCCTCGGCCTCTCTGCCATGGCTTCTGTTACCGTGACAGTGAGTCTCGGTGTCACAGACGTAGCTTTACGTTATCATACCCAAGTCCATAATGACCATTGAGCATGTTCATAAGCGAATTTCCTGTTCGTGGGAAATGCCTTCACTTGGGGTGTAAGTAAAAGTTGCAGCTGTTTGCATGGTACCATTCCCCAACTGTTCTCTCTAGAAAGATGCTTAGATACGGAGTGACTTTTACAAATCGGAGATAACATTAGTATATCTGAATATCCTAAAGTATTAAATAGTTGTGCCATAAATATGTGTCGAGTAACTGAGTCTTCAAGCTGCTCGCTGCTCCCAAGCCCGCTCTCCTCTTCTCCCAGCCAGGCGAGGCCAGCAACCCGGGTTTCTCTCCGCTTACAGAAAAGGCCGCGCCCGTAGATGCCTATTCCTCTCTCTAGCTCAGCCCAGAGACTGCCCCATCAGTCTCTCTTCTATTTAAAATTTTGAAGCCTAGAAAATGAAGAGATTCTTTGTAAAATTCCAGGAACTTGTGTTCTAGAATCTCACTGGAAAATAAGTGCTACAGTGGCAGGCAGAGGTTTTTGTTTGGTGCTACTGTATTTATATATGTATTACCAGTTGATACTTAATCAATATTTGTGAAATAAGTCAATGAATTTCCCAGTGGAGAGAGAAATCCCTGTTTCATTTAATATTTTATGTATCAATATCGTATTGACAAACCCACACATTATCTGCTCATAGGGTAGCATGCCAGCAGGCTGGGACGTGACTGATTACCCAGGGCATATGTACACGAGGGCATGTGCTCTTTCACTGCTAGGAAACTCAGCACAGAGCACAGAGCCAGCCCAGGTTTTAGTCTAAAGCTTAATTCATCTGTTGGTCTGGTACTATCACTATATGCTGTTAAGTTTGGTACATGAGACTGAGAGAAACCAAGTATATTTTAGATATATAAAAATGGCCATTATCCAAAAAATTGACATGGAAAATATCCCCATAAAATTTCTGACAAAATCTCAGAATGTAATTCTTTCATTTCTTCCTTGGCCTTTGTCCCCATAAATAACTGGCTTGATAGGTTACTTCCATGTACACAATACACTTTGTTTAAACTATGTGGTAGAGAAAGGAGTCTTTGAATAGCAAATGTAAACCTCAATATCCAGATAAAGCCAGAGGCAGGAGAATAAATGAGATTGCTCTGCCTCATACTGACAAATTAATTGAGGTTTATAGCATAGGAATTACAGGACTTGTATCGTCTTAACCAAAGACCAGTGCTTCCTCTCTCACGGAAGGGTTTCTTCTTTAGTGTAGCCTGTAGTTTCCAGAGAGTGGTGAGGTTAGGTGAGTCAGCTGAGTCAGTCCCGGCATTGACTGGGGTGACAAATGTAGAGGCAGATTGTCCACACATTTATAATATTGTCTGATTTAAAAAGGGGATGATTTCCTACCAGCCATTCACATCCTGCCATCAATGTGGGAAGCAATTGTGGTCATAGGGGGTTTTTGTTTGGTTTGGATTTCATTTATTTTTTGTCCAAGACCATTTCAAAGAACCATTCTCTGTTACACCAACGGAATGTTTAGGGTGAAGAAGTACCTAGAGATTTCCAAAGACGAATATTGGGTGTGATTGTATCTGAAAGACAGCCCTTAAGTACAAGAAGTTAGGATAGGCGACATGCCAGAAGAGGAGTTTAGTGGGGGTCTGGGGCACAGTATGAAGAGCTGCAGAGAGACAGACAGTGCGAGCCTTGTCCTGGGTGCTGCTTCATATCTTCAGTGTAGCAAGGACCCTACCGTCTATCCTCAGAATGAAGTGCATCAGCAAGTTCCCTAGAGCAGTGTGCGTGTGTGCGTGTGTGTGTGTGTGCGCGCGCGTGTGTGTGTGTGTGTGTGTGTGTGTGTGTGTGTGTAGGTGGAAGTGAGTGGATTTGAAGATAGAATTATGCTGATCAAAAACGCCAAAAGGTTCTAGCAAATAGGCTGTACCTTTAAAACAACCCCTCCCCACCCCCCGTGAGAAGCCCGCCATCACTGGTGTTCTCGGAGGCGACATGCGGGGCGGGCGCCGCAGGGCAGTGGGCACTCACGTGGAGAGTGTGGGAGTCAGCCCTGGCCCTGTCTCTGGGCTCTTTCCGTCATTTGCCACTAGCCACCCATGGCAGACCCTAGTGACATTCTAGTTTCCAAGTAAAACAGAAGAGATTATTCCTTCAGCTTTAATTTAGTTTCTTCTAATTTATTTTCAACCAGGCTGGAGGAGACAGAGGTAAAAAGGGCACAGGCAAAGGGTGAGGGTGGGAAAGTCTTATGTTGTCTCTGGCTTGGCCCCTTGGAAGTGGACAGACCCACATCTCTATGAAAAATGCAGGAAGGCCTTTGACTTCTGCAGCACAGGGATCTCAGGGTGAACTGAAGATGTAAGTATTCCTTCCCATCCTTGTCAAAGACGGCTTGGTCGCTGCAGCCGGATGCAGCCCGCCTGGCCGTCTCTCCTCGCCTCCATTCCCAGTCCTCACACATGCCCACGTGCTGCCTCCGTGTCCCTAGGACTCTATGCCAGAAACAGTTTCAAAGTCTGAAGCTGTGTGTCTGCCCTCAGCTTAGAAATCAAGCCTGAGGGAAGCCTGTTTGAAGATGTTGTTCTTAGAGTCTCTGATGGCTTCTTCTTAAGATACTCAAGGATTGGTAGACTTATCTGATACCCGTTACACCATACACTTTGGAGGTAAAGTAGGCAGCTACTTGAGGCACCTGGATGACAGCATTATAAATGTCAGAAGATAGCAAAATGCTTTGACTTGTAACAGTCTTATGCACTGAAATGCACTTAAATGAAATCTTATTACCCAAACTCTGTTAGTTATGAAGGAACCGAAGCAAAGCTATTTTTCATTAACTCTATCAATTAATACTGATGCAGTTTTCAGATTGGATCAAAACAGTATAATTTGAAGAAGGGGAAAGTTAAAGTTATTATCAAAACATGAAATATGTCCAACTTCTCCTCTCTTCTTAAGAAAATGTGTATTTAAAAGCTTAACTGGTAATCCCAAATATTTCCAATGTGTGCATAATGCTTCTGTAAACTTTAAAGTTTACATTTCTCTTATTTTTATTTACACTTTTCTCATCCATATTGCCTCAGCACAGAGACCACTGTTCATTTCTATATTTGCATTGACTATGTTTCGTTTTAAACACAAACTATAAGTAATAAGAGAATGAGAAATAAAAGAAAACCTTTTTTGTATCCTTATGACATTGTACAGTTGAGAATCTGCAAGTCCTCTCTTATATGGTGCACAGTATAAATCTACCATCAGCGAAATCATGGGCTTGCAGAAAACCAATACCCCAGCTGGGAGCTTGGCAATTTAAAACTTTGAAAAACCTTTTGCTTTTCTTATTTTTCAATCACATCCTAAAATGTTTGAATTATTTTTTCCAAAGAGGTACTCTTTCTTCCTTGCATAGAATAATTGGATTTCCCTACTGAAATCTTACATTATTGCTTTGAGGGTCAAACGATGTATTTTAACGTCCTGCATGATTCAAACTTGGCTGAAGAGATTTATTTCAAATTTTGCAAGATAATTGACATTCAGAACTATGAAAGTACACAAGGATACTCTTTTGCAAACTCTTAGACAAGTGTAAACAGAATCAGTAAATGAAAACTGTGTGTGAGTTTAAATTCAAAGTCAAGAAATTCTTCAATTATAAGGCAAATTGTTTACTCCATTGAAGACTAGATTTTAATATGACTTCACATCAGGTATTCAGACTCTGTGTGTATGAAATTTCCATGTTATACTTTTGCTAATTTACCATATGATCTACATTTTTCTGCTTAAAGTATGCAAAGGAATTTAATGGTGCATAATAGAATTTAAATGTATTATCTATATATTTCATCTTTGTAATTAATAATGGAAGTGTTAATAGATTTCCTATATGCATATAGGTTGGTTAAGTACATTTTTCATAGCAAGCAGCCTTTCAAAAATGCTTCAGTTACATATATATGTGTATGTGTGTATGTATATATAATTATTGTGTATTAATAACTCCCACTGGTAGAGAATGTCTTTTGTAGTTCAGCCTTCTTAGGCATAATTGGCATAATTCACAATTATGGGGGAAAAAATCTTTGTGAGGTCTGTCCCCCTGAATATTTTGTGAACAGAACCCATCACTCGAGCCTGGGAGCAGCTCAGGACCACTAGCCCACCGTGTTAAGCTCATTGGCCAGAACCTGCAGGCACCCGTGGCCTTCAACTGCTGGCTGCCATCAGAGGCCTCAGCCTGACCCAGAATTCCTGTGTCTAGGAGCCCCAGGTGAGCTCAAGGTACAGAGTTCACTCTTGGGAGAAACAGTGTAGAGAACAAAGTTTGGAGACAAAAGAAGTTACAGGTGCTACTATGGAGTCCCAATGTGCAGCAGATAGAATGAGCATTCTAGAAAGGTCCATTCTGGAAAAGTAACATTTGGGGCTGAGTTAGCACAAAGCCCACAGATGGGGACCTCTAGGATCATGTTTCCAGGGCTACATAACAACTTTGCGCCAAACCCCTATCTTTGCTCTCACTGTTTCATTCAAGTTCCGTCCAGCTGCCTGCACAGCACGTGTGGCTTGGCTCGGAGATGTGCTTGGTTTCACTCCTAGAGCATAGCCACTAGCAGAGCACTGGCAGGGCAGAGAGGAGCCGTTCCAAGGGTGGCCATCGCTGTGTCATCAAGGTCATTAGGTACTTATTAAGTGTCCATAGGCACAGGAGAGAGGGCTAGATGCTTTTTCTGTTAGTACCTTCTGTCTTCAGCAAACCTGTTACAAAAACTCATTAGCAAATTCATTAATCAAGGTCACTTTTGCAGCTTTATGGTCAATTGATATTCTTCGTTTTATTCAACTTAGGATGCCCTAATTTATTAGATCCAGTCCTCCTGATCTTTAAGAAACAAATG